GGTGATTATGATCATATTGATACAGATTTTTTGTTTATTATTATAATGAGGAATTTTAAACCACGCAAGAAATCAAGATTTAATAGCTCTCGAATCAGAGTAGCAAAAAACGAGAAATCATATTATTGATTCTTTACTTAGCTAAACGACACATTTAACAATTGATGACATGCTTTGCATAAGATCACCGGTCAAAACTATAAATTAAAACTTGGTTCATATAACTTTTATGATGATCCCAGCCACATAATATCAACTTTCAATCTAAGGTAAGTCATCTACTTTTGATTTCTGATGACTTTTCCCACTACTCTGTTTATAGCATAGGTTAAAAATCAAAATAGGTTTACTTAAAAACGATTTTAAATATCTATATTTAAGGTCGACACCTATCTTCATTTTATACATGTGTAAGAGTCTGTATTAGCTTTTGCTATAAGTTTCCTATTTTGTCATTAAAATTTCTGCTTTAATTGTTGCGTAACCCTGATCGTATCCAACTATTTTACGCCCATTTCAGGTGATCTGATTAACGTTGGTGGAAGGGAATATCAATTCATACTTCAAGTACCAAGCGCAGCTATATCTGTGAGCATAGTGAATTTTATTTTTATATTTGTTTTTACCAAGAAGTTGTAGGAGTACTTATGCTAAAGGTGATTTTATATTTTCTTATTTTAGCCTCCGTGAACTTATGATTTTCATTCTTTCATTACTAGCTTACTCATAGATCTTGATTTACTCTAAAAGGAGTTAATAGAATCATTCATTTAACGTCCAGTCTTATTGTCTATTGTAGTATGGTGTTTCCGATCCCATTAAATGCTTACATAACATCTGTATAAGCACTCCTAGAGTTTAACAAATAGGCAAGCACTATTTCATTTCCTCACACATATGATTATTATGTATCTAAGCCAATTGAATTGCATAATCTACTTTACTTCCCCTAGACCAAATCATCAAATTTCCCATAAACTGATCTATAAGTAAACTTATTATAAATTTATTAACTATTTGATAGCAATTGGAATCATCATAACCTTACTTCGGGTGTTTACCAAGCTGTATTTGTTAAGCTATTATAGAGGACAAGTAAAGATCAGCAGTATTTTAAACTTATTGGAGCTTTGCAAATTTATGTTTTTATCACATTGGAATGATCCAGCTAAGCCTTACCGTCGATTGAGTCCATGCATTTTAAGCTACCAACATACTTATTCCTACACTCAAAGATCAAGACACCACCTCATTAAATAAGCAAAATCTTTACGAAGTTAATTCATTTTAATTTGTTAAAATCTTAATACCTGAACGCAGATCAAAGCCTGAAATAACTAATATCGTAATAACGAAATTTCGAGAATAATGAACAATTTCATTGCGATTAGAAATAAGGTCGTTCCATCCCTTATCTGGTATAATGAAATTTCACTGTGACGAAATAAATTATGTGGTCTCAAAGTTTCATTGTGAATATATTTGTCCAAAATTTTACAATAGAGGCTATTTTCATATTGAAAGCTTATGGGCCTAATGAGTATTCAATTACTAACAATTCTAATTTAAGTTTTTGTTAATAAATCGACTGTTAAGCTCGAAGAGCTCGTTGTAATTTTTGGAATTCCTTTCATTTTCTAGGCACATAAACCTTTGCAATTTATACCTTTGTATTTTAATCGAATCACAATCGCAAGTATTGGAAACTAGCCGGTACCACAGTGATATGCACAATATGTACGACATTTTCACTAAGTTTTGTAGACTATCAGTTGTGATAGTCGCAGGTTACATAGTAATTGCCTCCCTTCTAAAACCACACCTCTTCGAAATCCACTTGCCTTTCTCTGTTTTCCATACTGAGTAGACTTTCGGGAGAATCAGTGGATTGTGAATTAGAAGTTTGGTCGCTCTAGTTCATTTGAGGTGAGGAAGGACCAAGAACTATGCGCAAAAGACCTGACTTTTCTTGAACGTCAATTCTGCCCTGTGACCCATTGGCACCCGTGGCAATGTGGCATAGTGGTCTCGAAAATCTACTTATAAACTGAATATTATAGTAACCCTTTGAAACAACATGATGCATTACTTGGGTTCGATTCCCGCTGGCGGTATTCTGATAAGGGCCAGGCAAATTAGAAACTGATATTCATCCTAGATGAGAATACATTATGTGAGGGAAGGCTAATTGATGTGTATCGGTATCGTAAGGCCTACTCACTATCAGTCGTTTAACATCTTGAGCCACCTAAAATGACTAAAGTATTTTTCGATTTTATTTATAAATTCCTTTTAAGCTTATCACACAAAAGGCCAGACCATCTTGGTCTTCATACCATCGGCTATTATTTTTATTAATATTTTTTATTTTTATGTCATGATTCACCATTTTATACATCTTGTCTTCTCTGATCACTATGCCTTTTAGAATTCATCAGAGGAACTTTCAACCGCGGGACTGGAAAGCATCTTGTATGTATCCTTTCTAATTAGGGCCATTCTTATCAAATGTACTTTTTCAGTAATTGTGTTGCGTACCTTGTAATTTATTATATGCCCTATCCATGTATATCCATGTCTAGTAAACCCGTTTATTTGATGATTTTCAAGTAGCAACTCATTGAACTTTGAGTTCAACGTAGTATCAATGGCTTAATAAAGGGTTCAAGAATTCTCAAAATATTGTCATTTAACAAAGGTCAATCTTGTTAAATAACGAGCATCATTTAGGAATTTAAAACCTTAATCTAGAGTCTCTGAAGCTATCGCAACGATCCCTGATTTTTATCAATTTATGAATCATTATTAAAATAATTTTATACCTACTGGAATGCTTCACCTATTTGAATCGCAAGTAAAGCATGAGCTTGATAATCTCGAGCTTTTCCATGTTCTCTTTTTTGATCCGGTTTCTGATACTTCATAGCCTACCCTCTCACATTTACATTGAGTCTCGCTATGTTGTCGCTGTTTCCATGCCTACGGCATGCGATTTTCAATGTAGTCTACGCTGAATTATCTTGTAATTTTTGCATCCTTTAATTGGCACACTCCTGCCAGAATATTGTTACATTTTGAGGGATCAAATAGCCTTGCTTTACCTGCTACTCTTGTGGACTGTAATAATTCCAGTTATTTTGGCTTGCCAGTTTTTTTTCGTTTCCTTTCTTTTTTTCAGAAATTGAGACGCAGTTATGATTTTTAGTGTGCCTATCACGTTATCGCCAAAGATAAGCTCAATACGAATTTGGGATCTTTATCTTGAATCTGCCACGATTGACGTCATAATGAGTCGCCTCTTGAACCCTTTAGCAACGATCTTTGCGTTGTTAAGCTTATGCTAGTTGTAGATAGCCAGCCTTTTATCCAGGCTTCTAACAATGTAAAATCTTTCTAGATCTTGGGTTATTTAGCTAGGATAAAGTCTCTTAAAAATAAGTTTAATTTTGAACTATTTTTTATATTTGCCAATATTTGCATTATTTTATTCTTTTCTACTATAGAATTCCAACTTCTTCTGAAATATCAGCATGTAGAGGTGACTTTCCAGGCATGGATAGTCATGAACCCACGTATTCCACTCCGACCTCTAGTTTGCATGAATTCGGCCCTTGCGGAACCGCTCTACTAGAAGTTTGCTCAACCCCAGTGAATAGCCCAGGTACCGTTTGTAGTAGTCGGGACGGTGTGAGTATACAGGATCAAAGTGACCATGATTCGGACTCCCAGCGGTTTGCTTCTGACTCAATCGAGGCTTCCGTCCTCACGAGTCCCTCTGGCGAGCCCGCAGATCGTGGCTCCTGGCATTGGACACCTTTACACCAAAGCCTCACTAGTAAATATTCGGAGGATCAGGCTTCCAGAGAGAATAATTTCGATGAAAAGCTCGGTAGAGAGACCTGCAATCAAGGTAGATATGAGAGTTTAGACTTCGTAGGCATGAAGCAGCACTGTTCTGCCACGCTTCATCTAACCTCATCCCCAAAGTCATTTCCGTTTGCTTCGCATTCTCCGATTAAGTCTGCTACTGACTCGTCGCCATTGTACTCTTCGCCGTCTTCACCCTCATTTCCCGAGAGTGACACCATTAGCAGCCTAGGACTTTCTTCTCCTTCTATCAGCGCTGCACCGTTCAGCCAAGATCCAGCCTTCTCCAAGGCCGCTTTATCCTTAACCTCTTCGGGACCTTCCGTCAGTTGCCTGCCAACCATCAGTTCACCAACTCTCACTTCTACAAATGCCAGTCCGACTACCTTATCACTTGATTCCACTTTTAGCATATCCGACTTCGGCATCGACCTCGAGTCTCTACAGCTTTGCAGGTCTGTCTTTCAGGCCACGGATCGCCAAATCCATAGTCCTGCCACAAATCTTGGACGATTTGCTCGCCAGCATATATCCCTAGCCGTCCTGCCGCCGTCGGCCTCGTTGCCCCACATCTCTCACCAGACGCCTGGTAGAAGTGGGAGCAATTCCTGCAGATCCCATTCGTCTATGAATGCTGTATTCAGACGATTTCGGCAAATTCGGAGGCCCTGCAAATCTACCGACTTTGTCGGTTGTTGCAGGTGCAGACGGTGGGATAGGCGGAGGTGTTTGAGTGGTATTGCTTCGATACACAGTAGGTATGCTCTGAGGCATTCCACAAAGTTCGACGAGAGGAGTGATTTCCTGAGAAACGGGAAAACTCCTCGCGCTCTGATTCGCTCACAAAAGCTTCGCAATTGTGGCTTTAGAAAGACTCGTCCACTTTCTGATCCTGTGGCACAATTTCACCGAGGCTCTTATGATGAGGGAAATCTAAAATCTGGCATACATTCAGACATACTTACCTCTCGTAATTCACGTAAGTTTCCCGCTTTGCCGGCAAGACACCTCCTCTCGCACTTAACGTACAAATCTAACTGCAACAGTATTGTTCCCATTTCTCCAAGCCAGTCAGATGTAGACCTCGATTCCGAGCTTGAGTCGGCCTTCAGGAGCAATAACCTTGGCGATACACACAAATTCATGTTTGAAATAGAGAAGGAATCAGAACTCAGTTTTTGTCATGATTCAAACTCTTTTTGCATACATAATGACACCAAATTGGAGTGTAACATCTCGGATATATCTAAATCAAACTCTCACATTTCCAACTTTGTTGCCTATCCTCAAGGAACCTCACCAAGCGAGCTTCCGAAGAAACAAATCTATAAAGACTCCCTTCTCACGTCCCAAAGAGATGAAGGTGATGATTCCTTCTTTTTTAGAAATCGTCAAAATTATTTGGCATCCAAAGTGGGAAAGTCATATTGCCTTGCAAAGCCCACAATGACAGCTTTGCCTATCTCTAAGAGTTGGCCTTATTCTATACCTTTTGGAGCACAGTCTTTGACTCACCTTTTGGCTTCCCCAGACTGCAAGCCGTTCTGCCTACACTACTCTGCTAAATGTCATTGCATTTGCTCTTCGAAATTCCCTCCTATTCATAAAACCGCCTCCGGTTTACGTCCGACTTCGTTCTTCAATGATAAATCTTTAAGAGATGATGCATGTATGCCACACAGCCTCCCAGACCGACTTTTCCGGTCAAGATCAGCTGATGATATCAGCATTGCTAATGGCAATACAAAATTTATGGGAAGCCGTTGGATGCCTAAAGATCTAATAACAAAGGATAATGCTGCATCTATTTCTGATCAGATAAGTTTGGATGACATTGACAGCTCTACTCTTAGTTCAAGTTCGAGCAGCGCATTTGTAATGATGGCCTTCAGCTCTCCAGAAAATTCGTTGGGAATGCCAGAAATCGAACGCGCCTTAAGTCCAGGACGGTATGTGATCATTGTTTGAAAGTTTGTTTTTCTAATACCTTCCATTTTAAGTTATATTAAGCACTTCACTGCAGTGTGAACTATGCGTGTTTTATATTTATATAATAATAAATACTATATTATATTCATAGCGTAAATTAATAGTATTTATAAACTATCAAACTAATATTTGTCCATGTAGCATTGCATAATTTAATATACGTGTTTTATATACTACATTTAAATATTGTTAGGGAGGCGTTCATTTCGAATAAAAGTGCACGAAGAAGAGATTCGTTGGTCGATCTGACCAGATAAAGACGGATGAAACTTGTTGTACTGCAGCCGTTTAGCTTTTATACGATATTCATGTTGACGCAGTCCACGAGACTTCCTCTCTCGTTTTGGGTAAAAACGTGCTGAGCTTTCGTCTATCATTTGATGGACATTATCATTCTTGTAAAAGTCTCATGTTAACACCAAAGCAAGAACACTATCCGGCTCTATCTTACCTCTTATATAGACTCAATCGAGCCAAAAAATTAAAAATTAAAAACCTAGATAGATCAATAA